CCAGCCCAGTGTGGTATAGTTCAGCCCATGAAAAGCAGATAGATAGAATGGTAGAATACTTGAGTTGGAAGGGGCCAATCCCCTGCTCAATGCAGGAATCCAGATCAAAGCAGATCTGACAAGTGGTTGTCCAATTTTCTTTTGAAAGCCTCCAGTACTGGAGCGCTCGCCACCTCCTGAGTTAATAGTTCCTCCTGAGCTAGTAGTTCCATTGTTGTACTTCTCTAACAGTTGAGGTTATTTTCCCCCACTATTCAGCCCCAATCTAGATTCCTATAACTTGAGCCTATTGTTATGTGTCCTGCACTCTGAGGTAAATGAGAACAGATCCTGCCCCTGCTCTGTATGACTACTTTTCAGGTATTTGAAAAGTGCAATAATATCTCCTCTAAATCTTCTTTTCTCAAGGCTAAACATGTCCAGTTCTTTCAGCCTTTCCTCATGAGGCTTGGTTTCAAGTCCCCTGATCATCCTTGTTGCCCTCCTCTGAAATTGTTCGAGTTTGTTGGCATCCTTCTTGAAGTGTGATATCCAGATGTAGCACTCCATGAAAGCTGAAGTACTGTAAAGCCTTTACTGGATACCTGAAGTGTGACCCTATCAATAAAACCAGTTACCTAGCAGGACTGTACCCAGTGACATACAGAAAGAGGTAGCAGCTGTGAGAGACTAAAAGCATCTGTATCAAATGTGCATTCATTTTTCAGCTACCATGCCACTCCTTCCAGGTTAAATTCAAGGGAAATTTTCACAGAACATCTGAGAATATGGAATGCCAGGGACAGAATGTGAAAATAATTACATTGCTCTTAAAGTGGATGGGATGGGAGGAAAGTATAGTCCCCCCCGGGCCACATGGAGAATTGGGTTATTTGGAAGCCATTTAATAGAACATAAAAACATAAGAGCCCTGCTGTATCAGGCCAAGGGCCCATATAGTCCAGCTTCCTGTATCTCACAGTGGCCCCACCAGTTGCCTCTGGGAGCACATGGGACAGCTAGATACCTGATACCCCAGCCCTGCATCTGGTATTTTGAAGTATCTTCCTTTTAAGCCTGAGGTTATATATCCCCATCATGGCTTGTAACCTGCAATGGACTTTTCCTACAGGAATCTGTCCAATCCCCTTTGAAAGGCATCTAGGCCAGATGCCATCACCACATCCTGTGGCAAGGAGTTCCACAGACTAAGAACATGCTGGGTCAAGAAATATTTTCTTCTGTCTGTTCAGAAGATGCTCGTAATATACGCCCTACCCCCCAAATAAGCTCTAGTTAAGTGAAACCCCGCCCTCCACCATTGTGCAGCATTGTGCAGCAACCAGAAGATTACAAGACTGTAAAATAAAACATCCCCTGAAAATAAGCCCTACTACATTTTTGTAGCAAAAATTAATATAAGACCCTGTCTTATTTTCGGGGAAACATGGTACTTTCGATTGTAAGTTGATTTATAAGAAATGTTGTCTAACTATAAAACAAAAGGTCTCCATCAGGAACAATATCTTTGCGAAGGCTTTCACAGCCAGGATCTAATGGTTTTGTGGGTTTTTCAGGCTCTTTGGCCATGTTCTGAAGGTTGTTCTTCCTAACGTTTGAGTGGATGTCCCCTGGTTCCAGTATTACAGTATATGAGAGGAAAAGGAGCTTCCCTCTATCCACTTTGTCCGTGCCCTGCTTAATTTTTATGCCAGCTCCACAATTTTTATGCCAACTCCACACTGTGGGATGGAGTTGCCAGGACCAAAGTGAACCTTAAAAAATTGGGGGAGGGGTTGTGCTGACATAGACCTTTGCAAGTGCAGAGAAAAACAGGCAACTTTGCACCTATGTTAGTGTACTCACAGCATGTAGTGTGGAATACAGTACTTGATGTTAGTTGTTCTGAGTGTTCTTGACATTGCCTGTTATTGAGTGAAAATTACCTGATATTTTTATTAATTGTACTGTGGTGTTTCAGCCATAAAGGGCATATTAGGAAGCAGGTCCATAGGTGAAGAGACTTGTCTACCTTTAGAGCCGGAGGCACTACTAATCTTCCACATTTTGTTGTTCTTTAGTTGTTAAGTTGTGTCTGACTCTTCATGATCCCATGGACCAGAGCATGCCAGACCCTCCTGTCTTCCACTGGCTCCCGGAGTTTGGTCAAATTCATGTTGGTAGCTTCGATGACACTGCCCATTCATCTTGTTCTCTGTTGTCCCCTTCTCCTCTTGCCTTCACTCTATGCACAAAGGTCTGCATAGTCAAAGTTTTTCCAGTAACGATGTATGGAAGTGAGAGTTGGACCATAAAGAAGGCTGACCACTGAAGAATTGATGCTTTTGCTGCATTGAGCCTTGTGGCACAGTGGTTAAACTGCTGTACTGCAGCCAAAACTGTGCTCACGACCTGGGGTTCAATCCCAGGTAGCGGCTCAAGATTGACTCAGCCTTCTATCCTTCTGAGGTTGGTAAAATGAGTACCCAGGTTGCTGCGGGGGCAATGTGTAGCCTGCATAATTAATTTGTAAACTGCCCAGAGAGTGCTTGAAGCACTCTGGGGCAGTATATAAGCAGCACGCTTTGCTTTGCTCTTGAATTGTGGTGCTGGAGGAGACTCTTGAGAGTCCCCCGGACTGCAAGGAGAACAAACCTATCCATTTTGAAGGAAATCAACCCTGATCCTGAAGCTGAGGCTCCAGTACTTTGGCCATCTCATGAGAAGAGAAGACTCCCTGGAAAAGATCCTGATGTTGGGAAAGTGTGAAGGCAGGAGGAGAAGGGGACGACAGAGGATGAGATGGTTGGACAGTGTCACTGAAGTGACCAACATGAATTTGACCAAACTCTGGGAGGCAGTGGAAGACAGGAGGGCCTGGCCTTCTCTGGTCCATGGGTTCACGAAGAGTCAGACACGACTAAATGACTAAACAACAACAACAATCTGCAAATAGCATAAACACCCCAAACACACACCCTGTTTTAGTGCAGTAAAAATAGAGCCACAGGCTGCTCCTTCAGGCAAGAATAAGGTTAGTCAACTAGTAATGGGGTAGCCAAGAAGTCTTTAAGCACTGGCTAGCTGGCAATGTTGTTCTTGCCTGCATCTGTGTGTTGGTCAGCTACACTGGCTTTGCGACTCTGCTGCCTTTCTTTCTCTGCAGGGCTTAGTTGTTCAGCAGGTGACTGGATAGTGGTGGCAGCCACTGGTGTTGTTGACATCAACAGCAGCAGCAGGGGCCTTCTCTGCTGTCAGAGAGGCTGCTACTGCTGTCGCTGCTACCACTTCATACCTCATGGACATTAAAAATGGAAGTTTAGCATTAACTGCAGCAGACTTCTCATTATTTATTTAATCAGTTTGTTTGACAAACATTCATCAGTCTTTTGGTTCATAAAGTTGACATGGGAGCAAGAGGAAAATGAGAATGAACCTTGTGTTCTGTTGCTCCACAAAAGGCTTTCCTCTGCATTGCAGAAGGAATACGCTGGGCAAATTCAGAAACAAGATCATGTACTAGAGGATAATCTCACTTCTGCAACACGTGAAAGTACTTTTCCAATAGTTTCTTCTAAAACATTTGTAGTAGTCTTATAAAACAAGCGTTGTGATCAGATATGTCTGATGGAGGTTATTGCATGCATTAGCTTCTGGTTAACAAGAAAATGTCTGACAGCGAAACTTTGCAAATATTTTTTTTCAAACCGCAGGTAGTTAACAAGGTGAGATGTCAAACTCAAGGATAGTCTAGCTTGTTAACAAACCACTATTTGCAGAATTTAGAGTGAGCAATGAGTCCCTTGTACATTGATATCTCCTTTCCTTGCATATGAATTTGAGGCTTATAAATAAGATAACCAAGTAATCAACCTGTTTGTTGTTTTTGCTGAATTGGGCCAGTAGCAATGTGATATCACAAATAGAGTCTTTTAATATTGGATCTGTGATATTTACAGATGAACTATCTTTAACCATTTTGCTTTGAGTGATGACTTTAAAGAGTATTTTATTCAATTTGAAAGAGAAAATATTTTATAAAAGTTTTTTTCCATTTTTCACAAATTATTTTGTCAATTTCAGGTCTATGAAATAAGCAACCATGGGAAGGATTCTAAGTCTCTCTCTGTGTGTTTATACATGCACACACATATGCGCGTGCGTGCGTGCGCGCACACACACACACACAATGTATACAGTTGTGCATGGGCAGAGATGTTGTTTTCTTGTGTTGGCAATCAGTATTGCAATTCTGAACATACAGTCTTTAAAATGATGCAGAGTTGCTGTTTTTAAGAGTGTAGTAGGTGCCTTAATGCCACAGAGTGAATTGTGAAAGACTTACTTATTGTTAGATGAAAAGGGCCGGATCCAGACTGAGCTAGTCACACTTAAGCCCATTGAAATGAATGATGCCTCTGTTAGTCATCACCAGATTCTCTTGGGTGATTGCTTCCTTGTGACCATGCTGATTCACACTTGAGAAACTGACTGGTGTCTTCTTCAGTGCTAATCAATTGTGTACGGGGACAGGTAATACAGAAAAAGATGTGTGATCCATGTCCGCACACGTACATGCATGTTTGAGTATGTGTGTAGTTATGCATGTATGGAAGAGACATGGGGAAGGTGGAGTCTCTGTCTCATCACTTCTGCCACACACTTCACTGGCATGTAGTCCTCCAGGCCAGTATCTGCTGCTACACAGGAGAAAATACATCATCTGCCGTGTGTGATCCATGTCTGCACACGTGCATGCATGTTTCAGTATGTTATGCAGGTATGAAAGAGACATGGGGAAGGTGGAGCCTCCGTCTCATCACTTCTGCCACACACTTCACTGGCATGTAGTCCTCCAGGCCAGTATCTGCTGCTACACAGGAGAAAATACATCATCTGCCATAAAATGTGACTAAGTCTGTCTGAATCTAACCCAAGAAGTCATAGGGCTGCAGAACGTGCCTTGGGTGATGTCCTGCAGAGTAAGGAAAAGCTCACTCCAGTGCTCTTGCCTTGGCCAGGTGACTCCAGTGATCTCAAGCCTGCCACAACCTCCACCTGTCACGTCTCCTCCTACTGCCAAAAAGCCCACACAACCAGAAGAGAAAATCCTTTTGCAAACTGAGCTAACTGAACAAAAAGAGAGGTTGCCATCTGCTTCAGGAGGTAAGACCTAGATATCCCCTCCCCCCAAGATTGATAACCATCCTGTTTAAAAAAAAGAAAAAGAAAAAGAAAAATATATATAGTTGTAGATCTGACTGTTCTCTCTGGAATGTGGTGCAGAAAGGTGGGGAAGGAGAAATCTTTGAATGTTGTGTATCCTTCATAAAAGCAAAAATAGTTGAATTTTTCATAAGAAAGATTCTCAGTTTTATATTGGGATAATACCTTTACCAGACCAATTCAGGGGTCACAAATATGTGCAAGCTATTGTAAGCCTGACAACTTTTCGTCAAAGAAGTTCTTACAAAAACCTGTGGTGGGATATGTGGACTTCAATCTCTGAGGGCCCATCCTTCCAACGATGGCTTCTGTTGACTTTTTACCAGGTACATCATTCAGTGGTCTACAACTTCAGTAATATGACAGTTACATTTTCACTGTGTTTCTCCCCAGGATGGAGACTGTTTGGAGTAACAGCTAGATTTTAGAATCTGACATTTACTGTTTTTGTTGAATCTGGACACAAAGCCTTTGGTTTTTATCCTCCTGATTTGCAACAATGCCCTCTTTTTTGTTTTTTTTATTCTCAGAACAAAGACTTATTTTTTTTCTTTCCACTATAGTTGGAATCAAAGGTGAGAAAGGGGACGCTGGGGAAAAAGGCGAACGTGGCCTTAAAGGAGAGCCTGGACTTAGTGGGGTCTTGCCATCCCTTGATGCCAAAGGTGAAAAGGTAAAATGATTATCCTTAGCTCCTTACGTATATGTTTTTACTCAAAGGTGACAACGTTGTGAGAGTGCTTACATGCAGAATTAAACAGGGACATCAGCTGTTGTGTGCTTTCCATCACTGAACTAGCCTTTTACAATGGCCCCTTTTCACTTCCCTCCTTGAGTCTTGCCTCATCCCAGAAGTTCTTCTGCCAGCATGAAGAAAATGGTGACTTTCTCCAGTGAAGTGAAGCTCACAAAAGCCAGTCATTTGAAAAGAGAGCTCAGTAGTGTCTACTGTAATGACTCTTCTGTTGTAATTCTTGAGGTGTGTGATGGGGAGAGAATACCAACAAAAGAAATTAAAAGCATTTAAAAGTGGTACAAGTGTTCAGCCCTGAAAAGTGTGGACAGGGAATCATTTCTTGCCATCACACCTCTTTAAGGTGGTCCTATTATGTCATGTTTTATGCTGAATACATTAATTTGGAGCATCAGTTGCAAGTGGTAGGACAATTTTTGTGTTGCTTTTCTGAGGGAAGGATAGAAGGCCTGTTAAACAGTGGAACATGTTAGGAAAAATGTAGAAGTGTGTAAGATCAGGAATAAGGGTAGCTTCTTATGAAATTTAGAATAATATTTTTCCGTGTTGAGGTAACAAGAGGCTACCAACAGCTAAAGACTTCTTTTAGCTGTTGGACAGAACTGAAGTTTATGAGGTGAGACTTGAGTTCTTTGTCCACAATAAATACATTCATTCATTCATCCTTTAACACAGTTGTGGCCAACTTGTGGTCCTCCAGAGCTTGTTAGAATATAGCTCACGTCTTCCTTTGCCATGCCTGCTAGGGCTAATGGGAATTGTTCAGCTGCATTTAGACAACCATAAGTTGCTCACTTTGGATTTAAAACACGATTTGTGAGCTCCTTTTCTTTGCTCCCAAAGTAGCTTATCAGTGTCAGAGTATATGTTTCCAAGTGCAAGTGATGAAACCTCATTTTTCTGGGCTGATTATAGCTGTACCGTATTGAAATGTTTTGCTTTTTGCTTTGCAGGGAGAAAAAGGAGAGTTGGGTGTTAAGGTGAGCATGGCTCTTATATTGCTTGACTCTAGTTCAAAGGACTGTGACAGTGTCTTCTGATAGCTTTCTAGATTGAACCAGTTGCGGGAGGGGGGCATTTTTGCACCCTCAGAGCCAACATGGACTCTACTGTTTCCAAAATGTATTTTTAAAGTATTTTTTCCCAAAATCACAAATGACCAGATGTTCATTTTCAGATTTGAAAAACAAGCAGCACAAAAGCCCCCCTCGATTTAAAAGCAAGATTTTTGTTGCCAAAGGAAGCCTCCAGTAATGGAAACTCCTATTTTGAACCAAAAAATATTTTGGATGAGGGTGCCCAGAAGGATGTGGGGACCTGGGATCCCCAGACCATGTTCCCTGTCCTTGCTATATATGAGCAGTAAACTCATTCTTCAAGTACAAATGTGGATGTATATGAAAAGGCATTATCCTTACATAACAGGGCCAAGCATCCGAAGTCTTGAAAGAATCCCTAGCTTTACAGAAATACAAAAAACACTTTTAAGAGAAAAGCACTGAGTGGATGGACAATAAGGACAGAGCATGAGTGGTGGCCACTCACTGCTGGCTGTCAAGAAGATGGAAAACTGGGTGTGGGGTTGGAGATGGAATAGGAAGATGCTCTGGGTGGCTGGGGCTCTGAGTAGGAATACTCCACACAGCAGCATTGCCCTTGAATTTCAGACACCATATAAATCAGGCCTTAAGTGGGAAACATACTGTAAATAATACTAGGTGTTGAGTTTAGTTCCAGGCTTAAGTGTCCAACCTAAGTTTTTAGAATGCTGAAGAGAACTCAGAATAGTGAACCACTGACTCTTAACTGTGACTGCAGATGTTTAAATATGGCCTCTAATTTGGGTCTCCCTTTGGCTATTCTGGATTTTCCTTTGCTTGGTTTCAGAAATGTCGAAGAACAGGTGTACATACATCCTCTGGTTCCTTCCCTCTGTCCTCCTTGGTCCTATCTCTCAGCAGAGGAGTGACGGCCTGCGTTGTTTCCTCCTCGTGCAGAAAATGTTAGGCTAGAGAAGCATCGCCCTAGTTGACCCCATGTAGGTAGCAAAGGCCTGGTACTGGGCACCTGTCAGATATTGATGTCAGAATTAGTTGCTGCTTTCGAAACAATATGTGCCCCTTTTGTCCATGGAAGAGAAGAACTGTAAGCACTGTTGTGGGTGTGGACGTCTGAAACTGTTTCTAGCAATATGACTAGTGCTCCAAAGACCTCTCCATCCTTAGGACCAGTGTCAACCTTTCCTTAACAGCACTTTCAAAGGGGACAGGGATTTAAGTATGGAATAAGGGGTGAGAAAAAAAGTATACATAGTTAACTCTAAAGTGATATATAAGAGAGAAAAGCAGTAATGCTCTCATAGGAAAGAGAACCCATAAAGAGAGTCTAACTGATGCCCACCTCTAGCCTTTGTAAGCAGAAATGACTTAGTTTTTTCTGTACCTCTAGGGAAATGCAGGCTTTGGCTATCCAGGCTCTAAAGGACAGAAAGGTGAACCTGGTGCTAAAGGGTCTCCAGGCCCTGCTGGACCCCCTGGACCCCCAGGGACAGTTGTGAAGCGCCCTGATGGCTCAGTGGTAGAACAGGTTGCTGGGCAACCAGGACCCACGGGCCCTCCAGGGCCACCTGGGAAAGATGGCTTGCCTGGAAAGGATGGAGAGCCGGTGAGTAAACCTTTCACATAGTAGCTGATTTGTTGGGCTAGGTTCAGCATGTGTGGTAGTTGGAAAGGTTTGCCTTTTATGCCCAGTGAACAAAAGGGAGGTGATTAGATTCACAAACAGATGCATATAGGTTATGTTCTTGAGATCTTCTGTGTAAGCTGCCAGCCCTTTTAGATGTCAGAGGAATCTTTGTGTTGTATGTTGACTTCAAAGCTTGGAAATGTTACTTTTTGGGGGCCATAGCTCCCTAACCAGCACTGCATTGGGGATTATGGAGATTGTAGTCCAAAATATAACTTCATCCAGTAATGATAGATTGTACAATTACTTGTCTGGTAAAAATGATATTTTTTTAGTTACTGCACTATTAGCAATGGCTCTAAACATAAAAAAACATTGAATCTTGATATTATAACACTGTCTGAAGCAGTGCTGTCAGCTTCCTTTGGAGCTCACAGACATGTCAGAGCTTCAGGTGCTACATTTTTCATGGGAGTTTCAGAATGTAAAATGTGTAATTTATGATAATAATGAAATCGTTTCCCTATTTGTTGGTAAAAAGGCATAGTTGTTTCAATATTGGAAAGGATTGGAACAAAGGAGAAGTGATTTCTCAGCACATAATAATCATTATTGATTTTCTATGTAATTTTTTTTCATCTTCTCTTGTTCTTTGCACTTTACATACTTGTTCCTTGAGTTCTCTCTTATTTGTCTCTTTGTGAATACTGAGTTCCTCTTTGATTAGTGCTCCTGCTTTTTAACTTTTTTACTTTCTTGTGAAGTTGGCCGAAGTAACTCCATCCCCTTTCCCAATCCTATAACTGTGCTCTTTGCCCAGTCTTCCTTTATGTCGAACCCATTTTCAGCATAGAGATTAGACATAGAGATTGAACTGTGGAAAATTAGCAAGCGAAGCAAGCCTATGATGTAAAAGTGTGAACAAATCTGGTTTTGTTTTGTTTTTGCTAAACTATGCTTTTAATTTTTGTTAGGGAGATCCTGGTGAAGATGGTAAACCAGTAAGTTGTACAGTTTGAATGTCACCTTTTTCAGATAAATACTTCATGTTTAATTGATATGTTGTTGTTGTTGTTGTTGTTGTTGTTGTAGTTGTTGTTGTTGTTGTTGTTGTTATGTATTGTCAAGTCACTTCAGACTTATGGTGATTCTGTGAATGAGTGATCTCCAAAATGTCCTGTCCTCAATAGCTCTAATCAGCTATTGTAAACTCAAGCCTGTGGGTTTCTTTAGGGAATCAATCCATCTTGTATTTGATCTTCCGCTTTTCTTGCTGCCCTGAACTTTTCCCAGCATTATTGGCCCTTCCAGTGAATCTTGACTTCTCATGATGTGCCAGAAGTGTGGCAGCCTTAGTTTATGTGACCACATATTTTTTTAAAATCAATGAGTTCTGGCATTATATTCACCAAAAAACATTTCTGGTTTATAAGCTGTTTTCTGTTGTATAATTTCTTGTGTAATATCTTTTATCTTGAGAAAAACATTTTCTTTCAAGTTTACTGGTTTAATCCATCTACTGTATAGTTCTCATTCCACATTCAAGTTCAATCGTCTACATTTATATTATAACCAAAATTTTGTGCCCATTTAATCATCACTGCTTTCACCATTTCATCCTCTAAATTATAGTCTAACAAAAAAGTATAGATTTTTTGTATAATCTTACAACTATCATAAATCCATAACTCATCCACCTGCACCTTCCCCTCATAAAAACCCATTATTTTGTCTTTTTTAAACCTTGATACTACTGTAATTATAACATTGCCCACCAGTCCATCTGTAGACCCATTTCCTTTAGCTCCTGTATATTTTTTTAATTATTGCTCTTTAGTTAAGAGATATTTATACGTGTATATCCATTCTTTCAAAATTTAAGAAGGTTGAGTAAAAGCTTCCAAAGGTGCTGCACGTAACAGATTTTTTTATACATTTGCCCCTGACATTTTTGCTGAACCTGGTGTAGTGCTTTCCTTACAATATGATCAGAAAAAAGGTGTTTGTTCTTTGCCCTTCCCATACCATATGTACGTATGCATGCCATTCTAATCTCAGATCATCTCCTTTCAATTTTAAAAGTCTTTGGTCCTCCAAATTAATCAATTTCTTTCTCCAGTTTAAAGCACAGGCTTTATAATATAGTAGACAATTTGGTAAGCCCATTCTTCCTCTTTCTTTTAAGTCATGTAAAGCTTTGAGGTTTATTGTCGTTTTTTTAGCTTTCCATATAAACTTAGAGAACAGAGCATCTGTGTCATAAAAATATTTATAATTTAACTGTCTTAGCAAATTTTGAAACAGGAACAAAAGCTTTGGTAAAATGTTCATCTTTACTGTAGCAATTCTACCCAACAATGAAAACTGCAGTTTACCCCAAGTTTCCAAATTGTCATGTATTTCTTTACGTATTGGAAGATATATATATATATAAAACAAGCACCCTGGTAGAAGTTAATTATCTTCCAATACTTAAAGAAATACATGAAAATTTGGAAACTTTTTTTTTTTGGTCGCTTTTTCTTGTGTCATTTTTTTGGTCAAAAATTTGTTTTTTTCATAATTCAGTTTAAGTCCTGATACTGCACCGAAATTTTCAATTGTGGATATTAATTCTCTAATCAATTCCTGTGGGTTTTCTAGCAATAATACCAAATTGTCAGTATAAGCTTGTAATTTATATTCGTCTCCTTTTATTCTCAACCCCCTGGTTCTGGAATTTTACCTTATTTGTCTGTTTAGTATTTCTAATGTCTAGATGAAAAGTAAAGGTGATAAGGGGCACCCTTGTCTTGTGCCTTGTTGAATTTGTATCTCTTTGGAAATTTGGCCGTTAATCTTCACTCTCGCTTTTTGTTGTGAATAAATTGATTCCACCTGCTGAAAAAAGCTTCCTTGAAGGCCCATCATCTTTAATTGGTTCAACATAAAGTTCCAATTCACATTATCAAAGGCTTTCTCTGCATCTAAAAAGATCAACATGTTTTTCTGGATGGACTTCATAGTACTCCAGTATTGTCTACTACTGTTCTTATATTTGCCACCAGTTTCTGTTTGGGTACAAAGCCAGTCTGGTCTTTATGTATCATTAGAGTTAAGACCTTTTTCAACCTGTTAGCTAAAATCAAGGCAAAAATCTTATAACCCACATTTAAGAGAGAAATTGGTCTGTAGTTGTTAATTTGATTCCTTTTCCGTTCCTGTTTTATGTATTAGAGATATATAGGCTTCTTTCCATGATTCAGGAACTTTTCCACCTATCTCAATAGCTTCTAACAATTTTTTGAAATGTGGCATCAGTTCTTCCTGGAAAATTTTATAGCATTCTGCTGGCAATCTGTCTGGTCTGGGGGTCTTACTGTTTTTCTGAATAATTTCATTCATTGCTATAGTGTTATTTAAATTTTTAAACTGTCTATAGGATAATTTCCAAGGGAGGGTTCCTTCTAAGAATCTTTCTTGTTGTTGCAAAGGTATTTCTTTTTTCTTCTACAAATTATCATAAAATTTCCTAGCTATTTTTTTTACCACTCTATAGTGCTAGAGCACTCTCTGTGTGGTTTATAAGATAATTATGCAAGGAATAATTATTCCTGCATAATAAATTATTCCTCCAAATAAGTTGGGTACTTGTTTTACCAGCTTTGGAATAATGGAAGGTAGAGTCAACCTTCAGCTGTGTGGACTTTAAATTCATTGGGAATGTTGTTTAAACTATATTTAGCAGTCTGGTTCTTTTTCAGCTTTACTGTAATGCTGGGTATTAACAGTTCATGATCAGTATCACAATCTGCTCCTAGTCTTGTCTTGGCAGCTTCTCCATCTCCTAATTACATAGTCATTTTGATTTCTCTATTGACCATCTGGTGATATCCATATGTACAGGTTGCTTGAAACACCTATTTGCAATAAACAGATTGCTGACTTCTTGCTTTTTTCTGTCCCCTAGGCCAAATTTTCCAACATCATTTGGTTCTGCCTTGTTTCCTGCTTTTGCATTCCATGCACCTATGATTATAAGCATGTCTAGTTTTGGTTTGTGATTAATTTTCTTCTGAATGCTTGAATAAAAGTTGTCAGTTTAATCTTCTTCAGCATCTGTAGTTGGATCATAGACCTGAATGATGGTTATGTTGATAGGTTTTCCATACAGTCCGACTAATATGTTGAAACTGAAGCTGTCCTACTTTGGTCACATCATGAGAAGACAAGATTCTCTGGGGAAAAAAAAACAGCAACGCTGGGCAAGGTTGAAGGCAGCAGGAAAAGAGGAAGACCAGATATGAGATGAATGACTTGATGACAAGAAAGGGCTCACAACATAAGAAATGTAGTTAGAAGTGGGGAAACAAAATTAGTCAAATCAAAATAGCAAACAATCAAAATATTTTAGAATATAATTTATTAATACTTTATAAACTTCATTCTCAGGCAAATCTTCAATGGTATTTTCTCACCATTATTTGTTTGGGAATAATAGATATAACCTAAACATTGTAATTGCAATTTCAACCAATATGTCTGTTGTGTGTAGAATTTGTCAGCAGTTGCTTAGTTTTTATCACATCCAGACTCAGGGATATATAATCTTGGGACAGAAGGTCTTGATGGGAAGTTCTGGATGTAGTCTTCCTCTTTCTTATGAATGTTTGCTCACCAAATATGCACTTGTATGCTTGTGCACACATATGTACTTATGTATCTGTGTGTTTCAGTGTATCAGCAAAAGTTATGACTCCTTCTGTATGGTTGCTGGAAATACCCAGGCCTGTTCTTGCTGCTTGCTTACTTACTTCATTTCATGCAGGGTGATGTTGGGCCACAAGGATTTCCAGGGACCCCGGGTGAGCCTGGACAGAAAGGTGAAAAGGTATGAGCTGTTGGATCACATCTGAGCTATTTGATTTATTTCCATTGAAATCTAAAATTCAGTAGAGAGTAACGTTTTTGAGCAGCATTTTCAGTTTTTACTGCTCTTCAAGTATGTTGTGAGTGTTTTCAGCATTGTCACCTTCTCTCTGCATTTAGGGTGACCCTGGCATTGGTGTAAGAGGTCCCCCTGGACTACCAGGACCACCTGGGAAACCTGGATTCAGTTCTAAATTGGACAAGTTGGTGAGTTGGAAGTGTATTCCTGATGCCACTGCCCCCTCCCCCGCGTCACTGTTAGATAATTCTGAAATATTGTTCCAGCAGTGAAGAAGTCTGCAGAATTATTCTCTTTCACTTACGTGTCTCTGTTTCTGGATCTTTTCTCATTTTGGTATCAGGTAAAGGGCTTAATTGGTTTTTGCGTTAGTAATCCTGATGTCTTGTATCGCCTTTGGTGTGAGGATAGGCTGAAAAACTAGGTGTCAATATCACAATAAATGCTAAGTAGTTTGATGAGAAGACATTTGTGGCTTTTCATGAGAGTACAATGCACCAACTCTCTCTCTCTCTCTCTCTCTCTGTTTCTTCTGCAGGGCTTGTGAAGTTGGGGGTTCACTGTGTAACATGTCAAAAGGTCGCTATAAAAATTGTCAACAGGGAGAAGCTCAGTGAATCGGTGCTAATGAAGGTAATTTTCTAATGGAAGAGTTGGCAGGTTGGGGGAAGGGGAGAAAACTTCTTGGCTCTATGTCTTCTGTTCCATGCAAAATTAATACCTTTAATTATGTTTAACAAACATCCCTGTCAGTACTTGGTTGTGATTTGCATAATAAAATGATACTAATAATTCTGGACGGGGGGGTGGGAAAACTGGAATTAAAGATGGAGCTGTATGCATAGGCTTTAATTACGAACAAAAATTAACATCATATGTAGCAACCTAATGGAATGTGAAACAGTTAATGTCTTGGCTGGGCTGATGTGAGCTGTACTTTCAGCACAGGGTTATTCTGGTTCCATTGTTCTGACAGATGCGAGCTTCTGGCCTTGGTCTGTGATAATTTATGTAGATAATATCTGCATTTGGAACTTTCGTTGTTACTGGTAACTGAGTCTTTGTTGTTCATTTTAGCAGGAAGGAGGCTCTAAAACCTTTTCTGTAAAAAAATTTTAACAGTAGGCAAGACTTGGTCCAGGCTTGACAAAAGTGGAAATGTATTTCACTTTCCTGTGTTCAGCTCTACTGATAATGTTTAGTGGCGATGGAACTTGCCAAGCATTCTCAGGAAATACAGCCTCTTCTGTGCCTTCTTCATTAGCATGTTGGCATTTATAGTCCATGAGAGGTCCTCTGAGATGTAAGTACCCAGAAATTTAAAACTACCAACTCTCTCCTCTTCCTCGCCATTTATGTACAGTGGTAAATGTACATTTCTCTTCCTCCTAAAATCAATTATGAGTTCTTTAGTTTTTTTGATGTTAAGTGTGAGATGATTTTCTTTACACCAAAGTATCAACCTTTGTACTTCCTTTCTATAAGCAGACTCATTGTTCTTATTTATGAGCCCCACCACTGTCGTATCATCCGCAAATTTAATAATTGCATTGGTGTTATACAGTGGGGTGCAATCATGTGTGTACATATTTAACCTTGAGCTGCTTGACTATTTTAGATCTCTTTTTCTTACAGACATTTATTGATATGGAAGGCTCTGGCTTTGGAGGTGATTTGGAGAACCTACGAGTATGTACCTAATCTGTGTGAGCAATTTAACTAATGCTGCATTCACTGGGCTTCTTCATGGGTGATGGGTTCTAGCAAGCTCATTGGAAGTTAACTTCCAAACAACACATGGCAAATAAATGGCTGTTTACAGCTCAGTAGTAGAATCTTCAGATTACTCTTATTGGGTGATGTCTGAGCAACTTGAATCAATAACTGTTTGTTGCATTTCAGGGCCCAAGAGGACCACCAGGCCCCCCAGGACCTCCTGGTGTACCCGGCTTGCCAGGACAACCTGGAAGATTTGGGACGAATGGTACAGATCTACCTGCGCCACCTGGCCTCCCTGGAGTGCCAGGCAGAGATGGTAGCCCAGGATTGCCAGGGCCTCCTGTAAGTTGAAGGGGATTTGGAGAGAGTTCACTAAGGATGTATCATACGAGCTTGTCTTCACATGTTTCTTCCATTGTAGTTACAGTAAAATTAAATTGAAGTGCTATTTCACATTGCTTTGTTGACTCCTTTGAGATTTCTTGCATTTCTACACCAAAGAGCTTGCAATTATAAGCAAAGAGATTGTTGAACTTTATGAACACTGTTTGTGATGACCAAGATAGTTGTATTGTAGTTATATTTATGATAGCTGTATTTATGAAAATAAAACTAAACCAATATCCATAGGTGGCCATATGCTTATTATTTGTTTGTTGTTAATGTCCTGTCAAGTCGGGACTGACTAACAGTGACCCTAATACAGTAGTGTTTTCAGGGTAAGTGGGATATTTAAGGAGTGCTTTTATTAGTTCTACACCGCAAGTGAGTTTGCATGGCTGAGAGCAGATTCAAACTCAGGCTTCCTGAGTCCTAGTCTGTCACATTATCTGTTCACTACATCATCCAGTGTCCATTATACCACACTGGGTATTAAGTGCTTATTATCATGATCAATAAAAATTCCACAAAAGCATGCAAGTTTTTGAGTTCTCCAATACTCTTTGTCAGTCTAGGTTATATTCTTTAAAAAATAGAGGTGAGAGGAAGAAGCAGGAAAGTCTATAAATATTTGACCATGTGTTGTCCCCATGGGATCTAAAGGGGAAATCAGCTTGTGGAAGGATGTTTTCATAGCATTTTTTAGCTAGGCTTTTTCTAGATAATGTGAAAAGGAAAACTAATTCAGTTAATGCAGATAGGAAATTCAGGCTTCTATTCTTCTGCATCGGATGTAGGTTACACACATCCGAAAACATCGTCGTCGTCTAGTCGTTTAGTCATGTCCGACATGCTATTGATTTATCCCCAGGGACCAAAGCAATATCCTAAATGTGCGTGCAAGCTAAAATATTGTATATGTTGTGTTTTTGAGCTAGAATATCCCACAGATCTGGCAGACAAAAGGTCCAGTTCAGAACTAGTAGTAAAACTAGTAGTTTGCATAAATCAGGTCAAAATTATCCTTTACACGCCTAAAGATGTAATAGAAGCCGAGCTGGGAGGGACTGGTGTTTGGAATAAGCTGTCCCAGGGTGCTTTGCCTCAACAGCCCTTATCAGTACAATTGCAAACAGCATGCCCCTTGATGAGCAAACATACATTTTGGAGCACCATTAGGGGAAAAGTTATTCAGGAGTGTAGAGAACAGCTAAAAAAGAGGCATAAGTGCATATGGAGACTCCTCTACTGCAGCCTTCACTGTTGTTTTCCATTTCTGAGCGCTTTTTCTCTCTGTGGTTTTCACTGATGGATTACCCCTTCATTGCTTTTTTCTGTAAAGCCTTTCCAGTCAGGTGTTACTCCAAGGACATTTTAGTCCTGCATGGCAAATAGGCTTTGAGGAGCGTTTTACAATCATCGGTACCGGCATTTCTAAAAGCTTTGTTGCTATATGGGGATGAGATTGAGAAGGAGAGGCACTGGGGTTTTCACCATCTGTGTTCAATGGGTGCAAACTAGTTTTCTGGAAACTTTTAAAAATGCTTTATAGGTTTATTTTTTTTTTCAGGGCCCTCCTGGTCTTCCAGGAAGAGATGGGATTGCTGGACAGCCTGGAGAGAAAGGAGAAAATGTATGTATCTCTCTTCTCTGCAAGTTCCTTTTATGGAGTTGGAATATCAACACAGTAGCAAGCCCATGAGGGAGAAACTGAGAAACTAAGCTTCTTCTGGTCAGCTTCTCAAAACTCAGTATTAAAAATTCACTTATTTTACCTTTCCTGTTTTTAGGGAGAACCAGGTGAACTCGGCCTCCCAGGAGCACCTGGACCTAAGGTAAAACAGCTCACTTCTGGATTAGGATGAATTGACAGCTTAGAACCCAGTAGACATATCCGTTAAATGAAACTAGTTGTTGTTCTCTGTGAACTCAGCTGATTGATTTTACTTTCTTCAGTCTTCATATTCTGTGACAGAAATGCAAGATTTTGAGCACATTCTTAAAGCTAGCATTTGTTGTTTGCCTTCTGGACTGTAGCAGATGTTTCCCTCATATCCCCAACAAATCCTCTTGCTTACATAAGAACTTTAACTGTACATTAGTTGTTTTTTTTTTTACCGTGAGCAATTTTTCTCATAAGACTACCAGTTTGGGCCATCAATAAAAATCTGTATGTGAGTGCATGGGGTCACATTAGTTATTTTTAGCAAAAGCAATATTAGCACTTTAAAAATTAGCAAGTTTAATTTGGCATAAATTTTCATGGATTTTAACTCATTTCTTTAGATTCCAGCCCATGATTTAGGTTTTTAGCCTCCTTCCTTAAAGTGATCTAAAAAAGTGCGCTGAAGTCCATGAAAGCTGATGACCAGTGGAACTTCTTGTGCCACTACATTAGTTGTTGTTTTTTTTTACCGTGAGCAATTTTTCTCATGGACACAAGTTTTCTGAACAGGTCAGTTTGACAACCTTCAGACTTAATAGGATGAGTCTGAGGGAGTTCTCCTATTCTGTGCAAGTTTGCATGCCTCCTGCATTGCAATGCTACACATTGCTCTCAATGCAATACCTATGAATTGCTTACTACAACCAGTGAAAGCATAATGCAACAAAATGCAGAAAATCAGCATATATATTTCTGGCATGTGTTTAAACAGTTGTGTTTAATGGATGTGATTTGAGGCAGGAAGCTGTTGAAGAATTTTGTTCTGTGTTTATGAGGAAGTGTTTTTCCTACTGGGGGTGCACTGTTCAGCTTCCTGCCTTTGTGCGTATGTGCAGGTGTGCATATGTTCATTTATGGTATGCTGAAATATTTAACCCTGCTTGAGATGGAAAGCTCTGTGAGTAGAGCTTTGTTCCATTCAGACATTCTTTCTTATTTCCTTCCAGGGCAATAAAGGAGAATCAGGGCTAGTGGGAGCACCTGGCGAACCTGGCCTGGCAGGGCTTCCTGGGCCCATGGGCCCCCGAGGAATGCCTGGCCCTCCTGGCCCCCCAGGTCCAGGTTTGGGAGCTGGATTTGTGAGTACTGGTTTGAAATAAAGTCTGAATTAATATAAGATCCCAAAGGACAAAAGCTGAGGCATGAGTACATTTATTCCACATGTTATTCCATTGCTCCTGCTGCTGCTTGGTGATGATGGCAAGGCCACTGGAATGTGTCTTAATGAGTGTTCTCTTGTTTCACGTCAGTGGGTTAGTGAGAGGCAGTCTGATGATGGAAGGATTTCAGGACAATGTGAGGACCATGCACGTATTCTTGGAGGTGGTGGTTTAAGGCATGAAAGGGGAACAAGGAGGAAGGGAAAAAGCAACCTACAGATGTCTTAAGGGTGACTACTTCTTCTTCTTCTTCTTCTTCTTCTTCTTCTTCTTCTTCTTCTTCTTCTTCTTTAAAGTAAACATCCCTAAACATCCCTAACTGGGATATGACGGTAGAAGGAGAAGGGAAAACAAGGCTATAGAGGATTTTGCAGGAAAGGTGAATTTGTGCTGGAGCAAAATTACATAATCTCAGTAAACATATACATTAATATATATAAAAAAAGAAGAAATGGGGACAAACACCATTTTTTAAACTGGGAATGATAGTATATGCCCCAACTAAAATAGTTCACATGAGCATTCTCACCATTGAACATACATGGGCCTGCTCTTCATATAAGCAGTTACAAAGGTCTCCTTGAACTGTAAAGAAAAAAAATAAACTAGAGAGAAAAGAAGACTCTGTTCTACCTCATCTAAACTGAGGTATGCTGACCCCATTCCCTTTCAATTTCTGTGCAATTTACCTACCCCACAAGCTAATTAAATCACCATTAGCCATTACATTGGGAATGGGCAACTTTGCTATCATGTCAGGATCTTAAACTATAAGAAAGAGGCTTAAATCCTGTTGCTTGATGGTAGTTAGCTGCATCTAGAGTGGACCCAATGATTCAATGGGTATTTGCTAAGTCATCTCCTCTGTAAGTTCAATTGATATAATGAGACTACTCTGTTCGCAATTTACAATACTAAGCAAAAGATTTCTGCCAGTAATAATTTAAGATTTTGTCTAGTGAACTGTCATGCAATCACATTTCTCCTTTTCTAGATGTTAGCAGTGAATTGCAAGTTTAATTAAAGAAAAAGGAGTCAAGGAGGGAAAGAAAATGAGGTTCATACCCATTTAACCATAATTTACTAAGCCAGTATGCATCCAAACTGGTCCCCAGTCAAGCTTGTCAGTCTACTTGCATTCATTCATTTCTTAACATATTCATAGGCCATGGGAAGTGCCTTGCAAAAAGGCATGATAAAAGATGTGTACCTGTAAACTAACTGGCACTATCTGTTACTACTTAGGATGACATGGAGGGCTCAGGACTGCCATTTGTTTCTGCTCTTCCTGGAGCACGTGGACCACCAGGACCCCAGGTTACTGCTCGTTTTTCCACTTAGCATTTTCTTTCTCTAGGACCATTGCACTTATATGCACAAATCTGGAATAAAAGATTATTAAATAATACAATGTTCTTTATTTCTTGGTGAACATGAATGGAACTGGGCAGCAGATTGTGCACAGGCTGAAGGCTGTAATCCCTTCAGTGTTGTGTTACAAAGAGATCATGTGTTATGGTTAGCAACAGATGGACACAATCTGAAGAACACTGAGCGCACTTGAAATCATCCTCTGGCCCTTAAGGTTGCAAGAACCAATCTTCAACTGAGCAATGGGAAGCTTCCTCTTTAAATCGCCCTTGCCTTTGGGGGAGAAGGGAGACCAAAAAAAGGTCCCATTTGTTTTTAATGGTTGCTAAATGATGCAGCAACTTAGAGATCCTTCGACAGCACTTTTGAAAAACTCTTCAAAGCATTGCTGCATACTTTAGCAACAATTTAAAAGAAATACAGTCACCCCTACCCTGCCCTCCAATTAAGCAAGGATCCACTAGATCCAACCTTAAGCAACCCAATTTAGCCCAATCCTGCTCACTCCAATTTGGCCTTCTAGCCAAGCCCTGTGGTATTTTATGATCTGATTAGTACAGCCTGCTTGCACTGTAACACCAAACCCTGCCACAGGACTCTTGTTAATTAATGCTAAATACACATAGCTATAAAGATAGGCTTCAGAAGAACATATTCTCATACAGCTTGTCAAATCTGGGCAATTAATTCCTTTTTTTTTCTTATAGGGTCCACCAGGACTTCCAGGATTGAAGGTAAGTAATTATTTCAATTTTGTGTTTAAGTGGTAGGTTCATAGTAGGCAGTGTTGCATGGGCTATTTTCAAAATATGCACCCCTGTCCAATATGACCTCTATGTAGTTTCCAATGCTCTTTTTTGTTGTTGTTCAACTCATTGTCCTAACAGAAATCAGAATAATTTCCTTTAATACTCCAGGTTTTATTTCACTATACATGGTGAAAAGTAGATAGTGGTAGGTGCAGATGCTAGTCAACTGGTCTAGTGCAGTGAGTAGTGGTATTGCCACTTTGCTTCAAAGTGCTCATGGCACTGCGTTGTTGTGGTTTGGGATGATATAAATATGTCATACAAACTTTGGTGTGAGTCAAATATGGGTGGAGAAGACTTGTCACAGGGCAAATATTAATCTGCTGCAACACTAAACTCCGATCTGTCTGCAGAAACAAAACCACAAATCTGATAGCATGGATGCAGATAGGTTTCTTTACCACTAAAAGGCAGGCTTGTGTGAATCACCTGAACTCCTTATGGGAAGGTGCAAATGAAAAAGACGGACAGAAAAATTAGGAAGTAGATACTTTCGATGCCTGGTAAAAATTGCCCTTATATGACCAATTGTTGTTCACTTTCAGGGAGACCCTGGTGAGGTTGGTTTTCCAGGTTTGCCAGGACAGAAGGTACGTCTTTGTCATACAGTCTAAGAAGCACTGACTGGAATCCTCTGTTGACGTAAAACAGTTGGTGTAAATCTCAGTGGCAAAGTGCTACAGGTTAAGAAGTCAATAATAGGCATTTGCTCCTGTATACCAAGTTACGTAGGGAGCACAACAGTAAATACCTATGCTAACATTATAATTTCGCCATTGAGATGTATGATTAATATGTTCTACCAGTATAAAAATGTCATAGAATTCTAGCTACTGAGAACGTTTGTCTCCATTTCAATGAATCCTCTTACTGGATGTTTTATTCTTTTGTTGTTGAAAGTCTTATAGTAGGAATTGGATTGGATTACGGGTTGGCCTCTGTGATGAAGGTTCGTTTTTAACTACATTATTATTTTATTTACAGGGAGAGCCTGGTTTGCAAGGTCAGGATGGACATCCTGGAATAAAGGGTTCCCCAGGACCACAAGTGAGCATGAATTTCAGTGACCCTTCAGTGTGTCTAATTTAAAAAAAAATCTCTAGTTAATAAAAATATTTCGTTCAAGGGAATCTGGCCATTTTAATTGGAAAATTAAGATGATAGTAGCAATAATTTTTTAAAAAGCATATGTGTACAAACAAGGCAAAATGTGCTGTTTATATACTGCCCCAAAGTGCATGGAACACTCTCTGGGCAGTTTACAATTTAAATATGCAAGTTATGCATTACCCAACCCCCTGCAGGCTGGGTTCTCAGTTTGCCAACCTTGGAAGGATGAAAGGCTGAACATTACCCAACCCCCTGCAGGCTGGATTCTCAGTTTGCCAACCTTGGAAGAATGAAAGCCTGATTCAACCATGAGCTGACTATCTGAGCCTGTCAGGATTGAACTCAAGTTGTGAGCAGAGTCTTGACTGCACTATTGCAGTTTAAACACTGCACCATGAGGTGCATATGTGTAAGAATTACTGAACAAAGCAGAAAAGCAGTATTCCACTTCTGTATATTTTGACTCCAGAACAGTGTCCCTATATAGACAAAATGGCAGTGTTGCTTCCCTCATCTGCTAATGATTATACACTTCAAATATTTATGCTCATCATTGTTGCAGTACAGCTTTCACCTCACAAATATTAATTGCATCCGTCCATGAGAGAGATCACTGTTCTTTTTTGTTGTTGTTGTTGTTTTTCATATGAGGAACAGATTGTATGATGGTAACTTACCCAAAGCCACCCAGTGAGTTAGTGACTGAACTGGGAGTTCAACCCAGATTTGCTGAATCCCAGTCCAGGCCTCCATTTGTTGGACCACATGGGATGTCGTTGACACCTTGCATTGCTAGACACAGTCCACCATTGTGTGGAGTGGTCTTGTTCCCTAGAAATCTGCTTATGTTTCTCATTTCAGGGGCCAAAGGGTGACAGAGGAAATCCAGGGCCTAGAGTAAGTCCTGCTATGAATCTGAGCATAAATAACTAAATTTCTGTTTCTGTCTGACTCTCTGTATCTGAATATGTGCGCGAGAGTGTCTGATTATAATGTTGGGTTTCATGGAAGTGCAAGTAGTTGGGTTTTAAGATAATATTCAAAACATCAGGACAGTACATTGCTGTGCAAATAATGTGATTTGACTTGCCTTCCTAACTCCACTCCTTCCAAAACATCTGCATCAGTTTCCATTGTTCTAGCTACCAGTCTAGACCATTCCCAGTGAGACAAGAAGTTTCGGGGTGCCACAGCGTCTTATAGGAAATCTGAGAGAACCGTTGCAGGGCAGGAAGATAGACTGCTGCTGTTAAAATGTCTGCTTGTTGTGGTGCTTGATTGCTTCACCGAATAGTAGCAATTTATGTAGACTTTTAAGCTAAACATGAAAGAATTTGGGTATGGTTGGAAACCCAGAATCTTCTGTTTGATGCACACACAAAAAAAATTCTCAGTGGCACAGGGATCCTATTTGTGCACTCCAGAAGGTTCAGAAGAGAAACAACTGAAATGTTTAGTTGCTCTTTTTCTTTTTCAGGGTGAACCAGGTCGAGATGGAATTGGTCTGCCAGGTCCTCCTGGCCCTCCAGGACAAATCACCTACTTGTCCAGCAATGATGTAAGGAGATCATTTTCTTTTCTTCCACACTCTCCTTCTTCTAGAATCGTGTTATCTTCTCAAGGTGTTCAAGAGAAACTTGCACAACCACCTGGCAGATATCCTTTGATTTGGTCCTGCATTGAGCAAGGCATTAGACCCCTTCCAGCTTTATGATTCTGTGAGTTATCAGAGCCACTCTTCCAAATATGACTTTAGTATTAGAGCCTATCTGATCTATGGACAAACATTCAATACATGCTCAGCATCTCTTACATAACAGCTAGTCTGTTTGGTATACTCTTTTCTTTGAGAATGTAAATATTTTTGCTGGATATTTGTCCACTCAGTCCTTCATTCTCTGTCTGAATCCCAGACATCAGCAGACCGAGGTGGTGTGTAAGAAATTGGACAGTGTACTATGATTTTCTTTCTTCCAACCTGTGTCCGAGTCCTTCCCTATTCCCTGAAGTCTTAGACTACAACTCTCAGTATCCCAATCAAAAGGATGAGGTTGATGGGAGCTGTAGTCTAACATGTCTAAGGACAGCAAGTAGGGAAGGTTATCCTAATCTATCAGAATACGAGCAAAGACCTTAGTGCTTATTACTTCACTAAAGATTAATTTGTAATTTCATTTCATTTTCCAGTTTACTACCTGCCATGAAAATATTAACATTGTGAAATTTACTGACAGATAGTTTTCAGTTTCTTTTCTGCTGAAAACAGTGTTTCTAGGAAATGCTGGAAGTACTTCTCAAAATCATGTTCATTGTTGGCATAGGTGGCCTCTATGGTGTTCTAAGAGGGAATATTAATTTTAATTGTATTAATTCATATATTAGAAGTTTCCTTTTTTAAAAAAAATGTTAATTTTAAAGTGAGAGAATTTTCAGAAGGTTGAAGTAAAAATTTGAATTCAGTTCCAGTATGTGAGTGTAACAGCCATTCTTATTGATTTAACAATATGCATAGTGTCGCGACTGCCACCACCTCCTACGTCACCACAAGAGATGACAGGCCACGATCCTTCACACACACACACACAGTACTTCGCTGCCACCAACCACACATAAACCTGACACTTCAGACTATGTATGGATTTTAAAATAAAAATGATGTTTTATTGAATACATAAAATAAAATGTAAATCAATGAATGAAAGAATCACTTATCACACTATATTTCTCAGACCTTAACCCTGCACAGTTCTTGGCTACTTAACACACAGTTACCTAACCTATATCTAACCCTCTCACTCTCCCACTCATTCCCCAACAACCCTTTCCCTCTTTGCACACCCCCCTTATATACACAAACTCCACCCCTTTAAGACCCACCTCCTGCCCTGCCATAGGCCAGGAAACTCCAGCCTTAGCCAAGACAGGCAGGTGACGTCATGGCACACGTCACACATAGTAATGTTAAAGATTTGACAAAGAGACAGATTAGATTATATTGCTAAACTTGATACATGATTTGGAGTCGTTGGCCAGAACTGTGTGGTGCTTACTTGAACTTTTCACATCCACTGCCGAAGAATCAAAATGTTCAATTTTGTTAGAAGTTCATTTTTAATGTATGGTTTTTATTGTTTTTAGGAAAACTTGCCTGCTCTTCCAGGCCCTGAAGTAAGTAAAATGTAGTCTCTTTTCTAGTGTTCACTTCCTCCTGACGTCTTGAAACAGATGCCTATTAATATAAATAAATACAGAGCATAGACATGATTGCATAGAAGTGGTTGTAACAAAACTAATGAATCTTGCAATAGAAACTCCTCTATTGAACCCTGCAAAAGTCAGCCAGACTGTTGAAACTATTAGTCATTGCCTACCAATAGGTCAAGAAGCCATGATAGATCAAAGGTAGGAATGGTTACATGAGCCTCCCAGTTTTTTTTTCCTAGTGCTTAATTTGACCCAATCTGTTAGGGCTGGGCTTGAAACCTACAGTATTTTCAATGTCAAAGTTGGGTATATGGCAACCTACAGATATGCATGTTCAGGAAGAAGGAGCTCAAGTCTTGATTATCCAAAGAAGTAACTCTTAATTTTAACAGGCTGGGCATAAGCTTCAAAGAAAGAACCACTTTAGTGAATCTAGTGAACCTTCAGAACACGGCCAAAGAGCCCGAAAAACCCACAACTACAAAGAACCACTGGTTGGGTGAAGCTATCTAAGAGTGATGTGTGTTTTGCCCTGGTACATGGTTATGTGGAAGCATATAATAGATACATCAAGGGTGGAAGATGTTTGGCCTTCCAAATATTGTTGTATTCCAGCTCCCATCAGCCCCAGCCTGCATGAAGAAGGGTCATGTGCACTGAGAGCTGGAGATTAACAACAGCCTAGTCCCTCCAAAAGGCATGAATGAGAGATTTAATTCTTCCAGTTCTAAACATTTTATTGTTTAAACACTGCATCTTTTGAAAAGCTGTTAGTATTTTTGGCAAGACAGCAGAGCTCTACTAGATCAGACTAAAGACCCATCTACTGCCCTGTAACCCCAGGGGTCTGTCATAAAGTCCAGCTGCTCATATTCCTTAATGACTGGCACAAAGAAGAAATGGCTTGCCACTTGTGGGTACATATGGCCCTCACCTGAATTTTTATCTTTTCCACTTGAAACAAAATAGTGTGCACTCTTTGAACAAACCTCAATAATCCAGAGTCTTGGCGATGAATTTGATGTGCATGTTGTTTTTGGAGGACGTTTCCCGTAAATAAGATCTTACACTTAAGTTTTCTTTTTGCAGGGCAAACCGGGGCATGCTGGTTTCCCGGTAAGAAGTTGTTTTCTTCATCATTGCCAATCATAATGACTTCACAATACTTTTATTGTGAGATTTCACTGCTGCATCTTTTTTTGCAGCTTACTGGAGCATAACAGTGGGTAAAGTTAAGAGAATAAATTTTCTGTTAGCTTCCTTTTTCTATTAGCACATATCTGCCTTGTGTCGGGGAGGAAATTTTTGCATGTATTTTCCTTGTGTATACCTCTTTTGTGTCAAAAAGATATTTAAGTTACCGTTGCATCAGATATTTCAGTTAGCATTGCTAATAAGTCCATAAAACTTACTAGATCCCTCCCCACACAAATACCTTACTATCCCAAGGGTTTATATATGTATCTTTGTAATAATGATATATATCATAGCCAGTTTAAGTCTTGGCACCATGACAGTTGAATGTGCTTCTCTTCTAAGGGCTTCAAGGAGCCTTTTAAGCTGTTGCATCTTGTTTTTATTTGTTTTCTTGCTGCTGTTTGGAGGGCGGGGGCAAGTTGGTCAGGGAATGAAACAAACAGCAAGTGGAACGTGTGTTGTTTGGAGAGTGCAAAGCTATTCTCCTTCTCCTTTCCTGATTAATACAAGAAGGGAACGCCAGAGACCAGGTGTGCAGGATGGCTTGACCTCTTCTGCTTCTCTTGCATCCTTTGCATTCTCAGAGCCAAAACCTTCAAGACTTTTTCAGAGCAGACAGATTTGTCCAGTGTTTTTTCTCTGGCCGTTTTGCCATCCCACAAGATCTTTCTAAAAAGCCTTGCTTGTTCCTGCTGTTTAAAAGTTATATCGATATATAATTCAGTGCAACTTGTAAACAGCAGAATAATAACTGTGATGACAATAAAAATCACAATAATAACAAGAAGGATAACAATAACAAAGATTTTAAAAACCCATCCATACATTTACACCAGAGAGAAAGCACATACAGACCACAGGCAGCTTCCTCCCATATACCTTAAATAGGGGGGTGGCCACAGCTTCCTACCTGAGTCACAAGCCACCCGTGATGTAGACTGGTTGTTATATAGATTAAGAGAACCAAATTCTTTTTAAAATTCCACTGAGTATTTTAAAAATAAATACACCTGATTCATTTCAAAGCAAAGTTTCACCAGCTTCCCCCACGTGTGAATCCCTGAATGTAGAAAGATGACTAATTCAAGGTGGGTGAAATGCTTACACAGACAAAGGCAGATGTGTAGACTGATAAAATCCAAAATCCATATTAGGGGAATACTGTTACCAGAATTACTGAAAACAGGAAAGGGGAAGGCACCTATTTTCACCTTTTAGTTGCCTAAGAAATGTATTGGTCTAATGTGGAGTTTGAATTTGCTTTGCAAATCGTTAGATCAAATTAATGACATCAAAGGAAAGGAAGTCCTTCCCTGTTAGTTAGCAGTCTCATACCCACTTTGATTTTAAATAGTTCCCATCAGCCCCAACCATCATGGTAGCCAGGGACTGTTTGTGAGAGTTGTAGTCCAGAACATCTAGAAGGTACAAAGGTTCCTTATCTCTGTAGCAAAAATTCTGAAAAAAGAGATTGGATCCTTACTGAACTGAAAAGGCTTGGGGGTGAGGTGGAGCCTTCATATCATCACGTGTATTCCTCCATGGCTTCATCCACAGGGCCCAACAGGACCAAAAGGTGAGACAGGATCCCCAGGTATTCAAGGCTCTCCTGGACCAAAGGTAAGACAATAAAACATGTTGTCTGTAATCCTTTTAGCTGTTGTATTAATTGACACAACAAGCTGCTCCTAACTTGTTTCAAGTTCTCTTCCCATTTTATCAAAATGACTTTTTCTTTTGATAAGCAATGGGTACAATTTCTGCACAGAATGAGCCTTGTGTGCAGATAGTCCCGTGTTGTATCCTTTGTTGAAGTTAATAGAAAAGGTTATAAAATAGGACTATAGTTTTCAGATATTATATTATATGGCTTCCGTGAATCATCCTGCTGCCCTTGAATATATGTCTGCACCTACAGGTACAATGTGTGTTCCTAGTTAGTGATCAAAAGCAGCTGTTTCTGTCTTAATCATGTTGGCCAATAGATGTGGCATGCTAGAGTCACCAATGTCATCTGTATGTACGAACATGCATATAGAAGTGGTTGGAATAAGTAGCATAATTCTCTGAACTGCTTCTTAGCCTTTGCAGTTAAATCCACCCCATCAAAAACCTTCAGAATATTTGATTGAGTTTTCAGTCAAGAGTAGCTTTAGCTAAAGAATTTCATGTTTGGGTTGTGCTGCTAATAACCAGTGTACATATTGGATATAAAAAGTAAAGGTGAGTTAGAGATGGCACACAACTAGTTACTTATTTCCTTGAATGCTTTTAGGATCAGACAGGATTTAACATGTCCTGTGCAACAATATGAGGCAGAATTACAAGTAGTTCCATAAAGGAATCCAGCTCAGTTTGTCACAGCATCACCAGTATAGTTTGTGCTAGATAGGTGTTTATAAAAATGGGACATTACTGCTCTGAAAGATTAGTTAAATGAGTGTGAAATTTCCATTTTGATAAGGAATTTGTGTTTCGTCTCCTGAACAGGGTGAGAAGGGAGAGCCAGGAGTTATAATTGGTCCTGATGGAACAATCATAGCAGCAGATGCCAAAGGACAAAAGGTAAGAGTAAGCTGCTTTTGCTGTGATTCAAAAAAATTCATTCTGGTATCTGGTTCTCCTCTTATGTAATAAGAAGTGGGAGGATTTTCTTTTCCTGCATAGTGTAAGCTAAATACAAAACCTCTTTTAAAGACAATGAGGGTCTTTAAAAGAGGTTCTGATCCAGCTGTGCTTCTGCAGTGAAGTATCGTTTTCTCCTTGGGTGTTCTGAGACTGATTGCCACTTAGTTATTGGATATGTGCCTTCCATGTAGCAATAACCACTTACTAGGGGAATTCTCCAAATGTTGCAAGAGTTCACTGCACTCCCACCATTCCGGTCATTTTCAACAAAAGAAAAACAACATGAATGCTTTGTTGCAGCTGTTGTTGTGTCCACGAACAGGGCAACGAACAGCAGTCATTGATGAGGTAGTTTCTTCTGGCAGGAATCATATGCCACCAACATGGAGTGACTGAATGGACAGACAGAAGGGTGCCCTTCCTAGCCAAGAGGTGGTAGCCGAGGCAGCAGCTGTCTCAGCGCCATGTAAGCACATTGAAGGCTTATGACCCCTGCTGACCAGAGCTGCTGGTACTGAAGGCTGTGACCTTGCCATAAGCATTACACTGAACTGAGATGCTCCTGTGTTCATGCTGTTTCTTGCATGTACGTGAATCTCTTTATGCCTCGGTCACTCCACCTGAGGGCCATGTCATTTCTGCTAAAGCTCACCAACAGCTGCTGATGGGAAAGGGATCCCAAGCTGCTTGGAGAAATGATGTTATTATATTTTAAATAAATTGATTTTAGGGTTAAAAAAGATCTGAGCCACCTTTGTTCATCCAGGCAAAATAATATGGATGTTCTGTATCCCATAAGAGCCATGCTGGGGAGGGGTAACAAACACTGGCGTCATTCCTCTGGAGGGCACCAAGGGCTGCTGTACTAATAATATTCACATAACTACCTTTTACATCTGCCTGCAGGGTGAATCAGGTGCAAGAGGACCTGTGGGACCAGCAGTAAGTTTTAAATGGTATCTTTATTTTTATGCAAGGAATTTACACAGATCTAACCACTCAGGAAAATATTAGTTATTGTTTCAAAATTTTAACTGTTTGATTTTTAAAAAATATTTTTTTTTACAGTGGGAATGAATCGTTGGTCAAAATCCAGTAGTATGTTGCAACCAGAGTAGGCCCATTAAATCAATGGAACATATGGAGGAGTTGACTCACTAAATCCCCACTGATTCAATGGGTCTACTAGGATTGCGACTTATGACTGGATTTCAGCCATTGGCTCCATTGTGGTGGTGACTGATTTTGAAAAGGACAGACGTGCTTTTAGCGGAGCTCCCATTCATGCTGGTGGAGGTGCTTAGGAAAGCTGATTGATAGATTGGTCAATTGGAACATGTAGCAAAATGTTTCAGTGGGCCTTCAGCTTCCAATAGGAAGTCTCCCATTCAGACGTCCTGCTGGTCAGTCCTCCCACCCATCAAGAGACTATAAACAGATAAGGGCTCGGAGGGGACATTCCTGTCCCCTCATCTCAGTTCTTCTTTTTCAGCTAAATCTATATTCTGTGATAGGTAACCTTGCATGATCTTCACATGAGCTTTGTTTGCACAGCCAGAATTGTCCCTGAAAGCTTTCATTCACAGCGGTAGAGGTTGTGTTGATAAAGCCTGGAGGTTTTCTCTGTTGCTCTATTTCAGTGCCCTTCTTTTCAGCACCCACTATCCAAGTTCACGAAATTAAGGTCTTCTGCTTCTCTATTCTTATTTGGCACTATGAATCCTGTAGTATATCACCTTGTACTTTATGCTCTCTCACTGCCTTTTCAATCCAACGTACTGTTGTTCTTTCTTTCCCTTTTAGGGGCCTCTTGGACGGCCTGGACAGAAAGGAGAAATTGGTTTCCCTGGAAGACCAGTAAGAATTTATATTTTAGAACTCTGTTTTGTTTTTTTAAATGATATATATTAAATGATACATATTAAAATTATTTTATAAACTCTGCTAGCTCTTTAATAGATAAGCATTAAGGAAGAGGGTGCAAAAACCCAAAGTTCCAGAACAGGTTTTGCATTAATTTACTTGAGATCAGAACCATTAAGAGCAAAATTCAATGGAAGGTCAGCAGGCCCCCAACACCCTGCAGGGGATTCTGTGTGCAGATGGCTCTGCAGATCTGCTGGTAGGTCAGGACTGGGAATCTTTGTAGGTTCCATCCTCCCAAAAACAATGGAATGCTGGTTTTGAGCAAGCACAGTTGTGCCATCCCAGTGTGAAGTCCTGCCCACATCAGTCCTAGCTACACTGTGTTTATACCTGCAGTCCTTTCTGCAGTGGCTATATTGATTAAACAACCTGTCATAGTAGCCCAGACAATCAGTTCCCACTATTTTATCCACACATTCTATATCCTGTATCTGCCATGGAATGACAGGGTTTTTTTAATTACCCCATTGTTTGGTGAGTGACTCTCATGTTCAAGTGTGTGACAGGTTCAAGAACGGACAGAAAGCACCTCTGAATTTCCTTCAGGGTTCTGTGATAGCTACAAGGGGGTATTGTTCTGTGTACACTCTTAAAGTCCAGCCTGATCTTAACAGTCCTGGCCTCGTCAATGTGGTCAGCCATTGAAGACAGACTCACAATATGGTTCCCATGTCGAAAGCCCATTCACAAGGACTTTAGACATGGGAACAAAATATAGGAGGTAAATGGGGAAGTTTTTCCTCTCTCTCAACATTTTCATTCTACTTTCTGTGAGCAGTGAAATGGGTGCCTGCAGTGTCCTTTAAACTCTAGGTATATAATTTGTACTGTGCAGTTACATGGTTCAATTATGTTTTGCTAATTCTGTCTAGGGTCGACCTGGCATGAATGGACTGAAGGGAGAAAAAGGTGACCCAGCCAACTCAAGTGGAAGGATGGGCCTACCGGTAAGTGAGGGAATAGGCGTGTCTGTCTGGACATTTTATTTTGTGCTGAAGATGGGCATGCAGCACTGCTAATGGTTGTACTCTGTCTACCCTGTCTGCTCTTAGAATGAGGATTTTTTATCTTTGGCATCATAAGGAATGGGGGAGGGCGCCCAAGCCACCCAGTGTGCATCTAAACAACAGTAATGTCTCTGCTCTCATGTAACACTTCCATCAGTTTTGCCTTAGTGCACTAGCAAGTATCGGAGGAAGCCAGACATAAATAATTTTAAAGGCAACCCCACCCAAGCATTTTGGCTTTTCATGGTGCGTCCAAAGTATGATAGCCTCATTTAGTTCTTTTTTTATTCTAGAGAGAGAGAGTTAGTTCGGGCTTGCTTTTAGCCAGTACCAACATGTTTGTCTTTCTGGGTGATCCACTATATCTATGTGAAGAGGACAGATGATCCTGTGGTAGTGTGCTACCCACTGCTGTGTAGATAGATGTCTGTCTACTGAGGCTGCACTGTGCTCTAAAGAAGAGGGCTGCAGCCAGTGAAAACATTTGCTAAATAAAACCTGTTAGTTTTAAAGGTGTCACAGGACCTTTTGTTGGTTTTGCTACAACAGGTTAACACTGCTGCCGCCTGGAAAAAATTGTTCAGCATAGAACAAGGAAGGGGAACAGGGGGCAGTATATTCCACTGTCTGTTTCTTTCCTCTTTGTTATTCTTTGCTGTGGCCATGAATAAAGTGCCTTTGCCTTGGCCCTGTGAGGGGGTTTTGTACTCCTGTGTGAGCGGTTTTATTTCATATGCAAATGCATGCTAATTCTAGCACTGTTAATTGTTGAAAGGACTTTGGCTAGTGGCATGGTGCCTTCTCTCTACCTAGCCTTCAAAGCTGCTGTTGGATGTTTATGTTTGTCTTTTGCCCTCCAGGGCCCTCCGGGACCTCCTGGCCCACCAGGCCCTCCAGGCAACATTGTCCCTGTTTATGACAATAATGTGAGTACAGCCTAGTGGGGAAGCAGGGGGTTATCTGGTGTTTAGGACCAGGGATGTGTTGTACAATGGGGCAACCTAACTTATACTGGAAATTTTTCTATTTCAACTTTCAGGCCTTTGGTGACGTGGGCCCCCCTGGACCTCCAGGGCTACCTGGTAAGAGAGTTGTAAAGCCACAGATTGGGACAGAATAGAAAAGGTGTGTGTGTGTGTTTAAAATCCCTGAGGCAAATCTAACTGCAGAGTACAAAACAGGATGCGCCATTCCTGGAGGTGAGGAAGGCATATTAGTGAAGTGGAAGGCCAGCAAGTTGGTATCAAGAAAACTTCTGGAGGTCACAAACAGCTAGTCCAGATAGAAAAACAGGGAAGGAAGGACCTACAAACATTCCATCGGGAGACGCCTGAACATGGGAGCTTGTCTATGACTTACACTTTGGTTGATAGTGAAAAGCCATCAAAGCATCCCTCTCAAATCCAGTCTCTCCAGATATTTTGGGCTACTATCATTATCCCCTGGCCAGGAAGGCTAGAGCTGATATGAGTTGTACATCGGCAGGACTCAAAATATCTAGAGGGACCCAGATATTTTTGTGTGTGTGACAGATATGGTAGAGCTACAATAAAATTCCCCTTCCAAAGACTTCTAATAATATGTTTATTTAGCATCAGTCTGCCAGTCTCTGTACAGAACCATTGTATTATTCTTGACTCAAAGTCTGTTAAAACCCAAAGGTAATATACTCACATGGTAACTTAAATGACCCCCTTCTCCCTATGTGCTGAATGTAATGTAATGACCATCTTGCTGTACTGGTGTGCTCTTCTTTCTTGCAAGTTATTAGGTATTGTCCAGCCTCATACCAGTGTTCTTTTTTCTAGGCTACCAAGGTGCTCCAGGTCAGAAGGGAGAAAAGGGTGATGTGGGTCCCCCAGGGCCTCCAGGTAATTTTCCTTAATATGCAGGACTTCTATGGGATGGCCAGTTGTTTGTCAGCACTTTAAAGAAAAAGTTTTTCCACAGACTTCTTGTAGGCGTGAAATAAGTCCCCTGTGCACTTTATCTGGTTTATGTATAAGCCAAATTTCTTCCCCCTTTTTCAGCTGTATTTTAACAACCACAGAATTTGAAAGAAAAATGTTGCTGCTCAACAAACAATCAAAGAACCGTAGGGTGATAATAAACCTGATTAAAAATGGGGGATGGGGAGCTGGGATGTCAGAGGTGCATTCCCACTATTTTATCCTGAGTTTCTTTAGTCAGACATACTGGAGATCAAACTTAAAAGCAAAGCAGGTAGGGATTTGCCATTTCCCCCCAACTTTTTAGAACGGTTTTCCCCAATCAGGCAGTCTCCAAGTTTGGACCATAATTTTCTTCAATCCCAATGTATCAAGGTTAGAATGTTTTTTGGGGGGAGCTGTAAGTGACACATCTGGAAGGTGCTGGGACGGGGAACCCTCTTTTAAGAATTCACAAAAATGCATGTAAACAGGAGAGTGTTTTCAAATTTCTTCCCCCTTTTTCAGCTGTATTTTAACAACCACAGAATTTGAAAGAAAAATGTTGCTGCTCAACAAACAATCAAAGAACCGTAGGGTGATAATAAACCTGATTAAAAATGGGGGATGGGGAGCTGGGATGTCAGAGGTGCATTCCCACTATTTTATCCTGAGTTTCTTTAGTCAGACATACTGGAGATCAAACTTAAAAGCAAAGCAGGTAGGGATTTGCCACTTTCCCCCCAACTTCAACTACCAGAACTGTCCAAATATTCCCCAGGCAGAGTTCTACCAGTTATAGCCCATAGTCCTACATCTGTAGACACCTTCATTTCAGTCACTTGCAGAATGCCAAGCCCTCTGAGGCTGTATGGTATTTTAGCCCTCATTTCCTGCTGCAATGCTTCTTGGGTGCAATAGTGTTTTTGCCCTTTAGCTTACATAAAGAGCGTCCCCCAAGAACTACCACAACCAGGAAGCATAGCAGCAGGAAATGGGACCTAGAATGCTAGACAGCCTCAAAGACCTTTGCTTCCTGCAGGTGAGTAAAAAGAAGCTGTTTGCAGGTATGGATCTGGAGGCAGCAACTCCTAGAATTCTTGGACCATTCTGCTAGCTGAAGTTTTCTTTCTTTCTTTCTTTCTTTCTTTCTTTCTTTCTTTCTTTCTTTCTTTCTTTCTTTCTTTCTTTCTTTCTTTCTTTCTTTCTTTCTTTCTTTCTTTCTTTCTTTCTTTCTTTCAAAGGGGGCATATGCCTAAAAGCAGGCATCAAAACATTGAATTGTCATCCTTCCCTTTTACAGTACAGGAAGCCAAATCTGAAAACTATGTGCTGGCTTCTTCATGGATTGCTGCCTTGTCGTGGCGAAGGGGCTTGAGTAACTCAGAGAAACTATGGGCTATGCCGTGCAGGGACACCCAAGACGGACAGGACATAGTGGAGAGTTCCGACTAAACGCAATCCACCTGGAGTAGGAAATGGCAAGCCACTCCAGTATCTTTGCCAAGAACGCCCCATGATCAGAAACAAAAGGCTAAAAGATATGACGCTGGAAGATGGGCCCCTCAGGTCGGAAGGCGTCCAACATGCTACTGAGGAAGAGCGGAGGACAAGTACAAGTAGCTCCAGAGCTAATGAAGTGGTTGGGCCAAAGCCGAAAGGACGCTCAGCTGTGGACGTGCCTGGAAGTGAAAGGAAAATCCAATGCTGCAAAGAAAAATACTGCATAGGAACCTGGAATGTAAGATCTATGAACCTTGGGAAGCTGGAGGTGGTCAAACAGGAGATGGCAAGAATAAACATCGACATCCTGGGCATCAGTGAACTAAAATGGACAGGAATGGGCGAATTCAGCTCAGATGATTATCATATCTACTACTGTGGGCAAGAATCCCGTAGAAGGAATGGAGTAGCCCTCATAGTCAACAAAAGAGTGGGAAAAGCTGTAATGGGATACAATCTCAAAAATGATAGAATGATGTCAATACCAATCCAAGGCAGACCATTCAACATCACAATAATCCAAGTTTATGCACCAACCAGCATTGATGAGGAGACTGAAATTGAACAATTCTATGAAGATTTACAACACCTTCTAGAACTGACACCAAAGAAAGATGTTCTTCTCATTCTAGGGGACTGGAATGCTAAAGTAGGGAGCCAAGAGATAAAAGGAACAACAGGGAAGTTTGGCCTTGGAGTTCAGAACGAAGCAGGACAAAGGCTAATAGAGTTTTGTCAAGAGAATAAGCTGGTCATCACAAACACTCTTTTCCAACAACACAAGAGGCGACTCTACACATGGAAATCACCAGATGGGCAATATCGAAATCAGATTGATTATATTCTCTGCAGCCAAAGATGGAGAAGCTCTATACAGTCAGCAAAAACAAGACCTGGAGCTGACTGCGGCTCTGATCATCAGCTTCTCATAGCAAAATTCAAGCTTAGACTGAAGAGAGTAGGAAAAACCACTGGGCCACTCAGGTATAATCTAAACCAAATCCCTTATGAATACACAGTGGAAGTAAAGAACAGATTTAAGGAACTAGATTTGGTGGACAGAGTGCCTGAAGAACTTTGGATAGAGGCTCGTAACATTGTCCAAGAGGCAGCAACGAAAACCATCCCAAAGAAAAGGAAATGCAAGAAAGCAAAGTGGCTGTCCAACGAGGCCTTAGAAATAGCAGAGAGGAGAAGGGAAGCAAAATGCAAGGGAGATAGGGAAAGTTACAGAAAATTGAATGCAGACTTCCAAAGAATAGCAAGGAGAGACAAGAGGGCCTTCTTAAATGAACAATGCAAAGAAATAGAGGAAGATAACAGAAAAGGAAAGACCAGAGAGCTCTTCAGGAAAATTGGAGATATTAGAGGAACATTTTGCGCAAAGATGAACATGATAAAAGACAAAAATGGGAAGGACCTAACAGAAGCAGAAGACGTCAAGAAGAGGTGGCAAGAATACACAGAGGAATTATATCAGAAAGATGTGGATATCCCGGACAACCCAGACAATGTAGTTGCTGACCTTGAGCCAGACATCCTGGAGAGCGAAGTCAAGTGGGCCTTAGAAAGCCTGGCTAACAACAAGGCCAGTGGAGGTGATGGCATTCCAATTGAACTATTTAAAATCTTGAAAGATGATGCTGTTAAGGTGCTACATTCAATATGCCAGCAAGTTTGGAAAACTCAACAGTGGCCAGAGGATTGGAAAAGATCAGTCTACATCCCAATCCCAAAGAAAGGCAGTGCCAAAGAATGCTCCAACTACCGTACAATTGCACTCATTTCACACGCTAGCAAGGTTATGCTCAAAATCCTACAAGGTAGGCTTCAGCAGTATGTGGACCGAGAACTCCCAGAAGTACAAGCTGGATTCCGAAGAGGCAGAGGAACTCGAGACCAAATTGCTAACTTGCGCTGGATTATGGAGAAAGCCAGAGAGTTCCAGAAAAATATCTACTTCTGCTTCATTGACTATGCAAAAGCCTTTGACTGTGTGGACCACAGCAAACTATGGCAAGTTCTTAAAGAAATGGGAGTGCCTGACCACCTTATCCATCTCCTGAGAAACCTATATGTGGGACAGGAAGCAACAGTTAGAACTGGTCATGGAACAACTGAGTGGTTCAAAATTGGGAAAGGAGTACGGCAAGGCTGTATATTGTCCCCCAGCTTATTTAACTTATATGCAGAATACATCATGCGGAAGGCTGGACTGGAAGAAACCCAAGCCGGAATTAAGATTGCCGGAAGAAATATCAACAACCTCCGATATGCAGATGATACCACTCTGATGGCAGAAAGTGAGGAGGAATTAAAGAACCTTGCCGTTTAGTGGCAGCTTTTCAGTATATTTGAAACACCTCTAGGCAATATTTGGAGAGAATAACAGTCCCTTCCATGTTAGTTTCTCAATGGTATGGTCTGGAGTGTCTTACATTGTGATGCAGGTCTGGATCCTTCTTGTCTCACATACTCTAAATGCTTTTTCTGTTTTAGCTTTTGTTCATCCCATCCAGATAATTGAATTTGGCAGCCGTGCTTTGTCCTTTGTCCAGGCAGGCTTGGCCCTGCCCTTAGGCAAAGGGGAGTAGCTGCCTCAGGTGGCAAATCTCCTTTTACATCAGGCAGTTGATCAAAATGTGTGATGGTTACATTTGTAATGACCATAGGTGTAAGGACCGGTACTGTTATTTGGGTAAGACTTGTCCCCCAGATGTTTCTCCTCCTTCCATGAGACTGCAGACCATTATAATTGCTTTGACTAAAGCATCAGTGGCAGGAGCAAAAAGAAGAAGGCAGCTGAGAGGAGAGTCGGTCAGAAATGTGGGCAACACCTGCAATCACAGGTGGTGCCTTGAGGAGAATGTTAGCTAAGTGGCTAACATTGTTTTGGCTTGTATGAATTGGCTCAGGCCAGTGATGTTTCTTGATGAGGAGGCTCAAACTGGTTACTGAGAGTGGTCAAGAGGGTGTCCATCTGCCACATCACCCTGGGAAGAAATACTGATGTTTTGAGGTAGAGAAAATGGAAAAGGGGGAGGGGGTTTGAACTATACATATAAATTGAATTAAACTGATTGCTCAAATGAATTGCTTCTAATGAGTGGGTGATCTTGCATTTGGGTGTAGAATTAAGCTACATAGCCTCTCTTTTCTTACACTCCCGTAGTTTTAATGATGTGTGTGCTATTTGCTTTCTCAGGGACCCAAGGGTGACAGTATTAGGGGTCCACCTGGGCCTCCAGGTCCTCAAGGACCTCCTGGTGCAGGATACGAGGGACGTGCCGGGAACCCAGGCCCTCCTGGTCCTCCAGGCCCTCCTGGCCCTCCTTCTTTCCCAGGACCTCATAGGCAATGTGAGTAGGTGTCTCTCCCCCTATTTGCCTATTTGTTTCAAGTAGCCTTGTGCTGGAATTCAGGTGGTTCAGAAAGTAGTTTGTGGAGACTTGCATAGTTAAGTTCCAGTTTTCTTTTTTCTTTTTCTTTTCCAGCAATAAGCGTTCCTGGACCACCTGGGCCACCAGGACCACCAGGACCTCCAGGAATTAGTGATGCCTCTTCTTCTTCTGGGGTGAGAAAATGGGCCAGAAACATATACCAAGCAAATAGTTTACATGTGAGAGCAACTTCGGCAGGAGGGTGGAGGTGGGCAAGCTAAATTCTTGTGAATGGCCCCGATTTCACATGAGTATTCTTAACTGAACCATTAACTTATTGGGTAGAGATTCTCACTGCCAAGGTGACTGCAAAAACAGCACCAGCAAACATTCGCAACCAACACTTGCATTAAAGGAGTAACATTCTACACTACTCTGATGAGTTCCTAGTATACTGAGAACATTGTAATGAGTCTTTGAAAATTACTGGCTAGAATCCTATGGATTATTTACAGCAGCATAAGCACATGAATTGCATTGGGAAATTCCCAATAGTTAAAGAGCTGTCACTTGTATCTCAGCTAGTAGGAGTTAGCTGCTACAGTTTCTGTTATTACACTTACACCAGTGTAGCTGTATTAATCACAATAATAGCATAAGCAGTGATGACAACGGTTGGTTTGGTTTCTGGCATTGACCAGCATATGTGATGTAACTATATTGTTCTGTATAAGCAGAAGGATACACAGTAACAGCATAAGCAGTGATGACAACGGGTTGGTTTGGTTTCTGGCACTGACCAACATATGTGATGCAACTATATTGTTCTGTATAAGCAGAAGGATTAAACCAAGAGCTATTAATATGTTGGTTATGTAGAGAGTGTGCCAGGTAAGTACGCTTTGTTCTGTTAGCCAGATAAAGTGACTGTGTTCAGGTACTGATTAAAAGTTGTATTGGTGGTTTGAAAAGCTTGATGCCTCTTTGTTAAAGTTCCAGTTTCATTGAATGCAAACCTTGCAAATGTAGTCACGTGCATACTATGTTAGTGAAAATTTAACAGATTGAAGCATTTCAAAGGTGATGAATGGCAGCAAAGGTGGACTTTTGGGGCTGTTTTAACTATCAAATCATTTGTTTCCCAACAGCTGCGGATCTTTCCAACATATCAGAGTATGATGGGCAGAGGTCATGAAATACCTGAAGGCCAGCTTCTTTTCATCCGGGATAGAGAAGAGCTCTACATCCGTGTTCGCAATGGTTTCAGGAGAGTCCTTGTGAGTACCCTATACGTATGTAGAGACTTGGTATTGGCAGCATTGGGTGTAAAGCTTCATGGGGAGAATGATTTCCCTTTTTAGGGTAAAGGTTGTACATTCAGATTAATGCTGTACGAGAAGCTCCGTTCAGGCATCCAGAAAGGGTTAATTTGAAAATGTGAGCCCACCACCGGTCACTGTCTCCATGTTGTTATGTGACATCAAGTCACTTCTGACTTACAGTGACTAGAGGTGGGCATGAACCGTGGTTCGTCGGTTTGTGCCAGTTTGGCCCTCCAGCCGCACAGCTGTTCCACAGGTGCCCCAGCTTCCCAGCCCTGCCTCCTCTGGTGGGTGCCCACTCACAGGCAGTTATTAGACCCATTTCCACTGGAGAATAGGATGGAAGGTTCTCCAGACTGGCATACTGTCTGTGACACCCTGAATACACTGGCTGAAATTGCTTGGTGTAGTAAATTACTTAGGAGTAGACATTTTGAACCAGTGGAGATTTGGTAAGTCAACTCCAATGCACCCTCTAATTTTCAGCCCCGCTTGACAGGGCTCCGCCTCTCTCTCTTGTGTGATTCCACACACCCCCACGCACTGGGTTCTGCTGCAACCGGAACCTAATGTGATCGCTGTGCAGAGGAGGAAGACAGCCGCGTGCAGGGAGGCAGAGATCTGCGCCTGTGCGTGCACCCAACTTAGTGGGAACTTTGGTCAACTCCTTAATGAGGTGCATTTATTCAAATTGGCCTACTCTAGTTGTGGCTTACTACACTAAGCAACAGGATTTCAGCCAGTATCATCACACCCCACAATGCTGCTGTGTGGCCTAATGAAGGCCTCAGCAGCAGCTCTTTATGAATTCCTGTTTATACTAGGTCATGTCAGTAGCGGGAGGGGGGAAGCTGAATCGATTATGAGCCCGTTCTCCAAACTTTGGCCTCAGTAGCAGTTAGCCCAGGGTTTTGAACTTGGGCTATTCATGCTGCAGACTCTCCCTAATTCCAAACTGCAGGTGCATGTGTGTGTTTTTTTCTGTATCTCACAGTTCAGTGAATCTTGCCAGAGGCCAGCTTCCAGCACATCATCTTCATTAAGTTATTTTATTCAAAAGGCAGAATATAGTTGGAAGGGCACCTGCCCCTCCTTTCTAAGGCTGTTTACGATTGTTTCTGAATTAGCATGTACTGTATTGCTTAACCTCCTCCAGTCATTTTGTTTATGATCAGATTACCTTATAGCGTTTAAATGTTACATCTTTCATTTGCCAAGAAGCAGTTGAGTTGCCTCATACCAGGATCTTTAGTGGTTTCAGATTTGCATTTATTTTAGTGGCACTGATGTGGTGGTTTGCTAACTGAGAATTAATGTGAAAATGGCAAAATTCAAAATAGTACTTGGGTTCTGGTGTTGGGTAGTGTAGGTACAACTGGGAGTGTGAATTCTAGGCTGGGAATTAAATTGTTTACAACATGGATTCATTGGATGATCTTAGATATGCCTTCAGGTTGTTTCCAGTTCTGAATGCTATAGTAATGGTTCTGACTTCATTTCAGCTTGAAGACAGGATAGCCCTCTCTGGCCCTGGGCTGGTGAGTGAAACATCTTTATTTGGCATTGTGCCATGCTAATATTATAAACTTTTAGAATTCCTTTGTTGCACTCATCTTCAGATGCTGTTTCATGTTCTTATCTGATTGGTGTCACCATAAGCCATGGTATGTGTTTATCAGAGTTAGTTGTTTCAGCCAGTGGTTCCCAACGTTGGACAATTCAAGTGTTCTTAGACTGCAACTCCCAGAAACCCCAGGCAGCACAGCTGGTGGTGAAGGCTTCTGGGAATTGCAGTCCAGGAACACATCTGGGTTACCCAAGGTTGGGAACCACTGGCTTAAGCCATGGATTGCAGGACTAGAGACCAAAACAAATTGCTCTTTGACATTCCCATTTCAACTTTGTTTCTAGTTCATTTTTCTCTTTCCTCTTTTGTCAATTCCTGTAGGCTCCTGCTTCCAGGTGGGAAAACAAGTCACAGTAGAAGGTTCAGATGCTACAGCAAGCCATGATTTAAACAAGCAGAATCTGCATGCCATGAACAAACCAGATTGTTTTTATGGCATCTGGGTTACCCAAGGTTGGGAACCACTGGCTTAAGCCATGGATTGCAGGACTGGAGACCAAAACAAATGGCTCTTTGACATTCCCATTTCAACTTTGTTTCTAGTTCATTTTTCTTTCCTCTTTTGTCAATTCCTGTAGGCTCCTGTTTCCAGGTGGGAAAACAAGTCACAGTAGAAGGTTCAGATGCTACAGCAAGCCATGATTTAAACAAGCAGAATCTGCATGCCATGAACAAACCAGATTGTTTTTATGGCTTGTTCAAAAAAAAACATGCTCATTAGTAAAAGTGGGGTCACATGGTAGGTTTTAACAGTCCTCATAATGGCTTGACTTGGCATGCAGTTACAGTCTTTATGCACACATGTTTTTACTGCTTGGATTTTAATAGGTAGTGACCCCTGCTGTGCTTTTCAGGATATATCAAGAGTAGAAATTCAGACACTCTATCCGGGGAAGAGTTCAGCTTCCATGATTTAGTCACAGTGAACCATGAAGGATTTCATGCCACCAGAATTGATTTGTAGTGATGGAGTTTGCTATAGCTTGGCCTCTGTTGATAATAGAACTGTATTCCACTGTGAGGGCACAAAATTTGGTTTTGGCATGATTTCAGATGCTCCATAGCACTTATTATTTATGTAAGCCGCCCCAAGTAGACATGGTCTAGAGGGGCGGGGTAAAAATCAAATCAATCAATCAATCAATCAATCAATCAATCAATCAATCAATCAATCAATCAATCAATCAATAAGAGAAAGTTGTTGTTCTTTTCCAGGACAATGAGGTATATGATAGGCCTTCCAGTGCCCATTACTCACATGGAGGAGGAACAGCCTCATCTGGATCTCAGCGCCCTTTCCAGCAGCATTTGCCTGTGCATTCACACCGGGAGTACGGTGCTTACTCCACTGCCAAGCCTTGGAGAGGAGATGAGAGTGCCATCAACCAACATCGCCTCCCTGAGCATCCTGCCGTCCACCAGCCTCAGCAGGGAGTACAACACCAGCAGGAGCCCTTGAATGCCTTCTTTCTTAACAATCGCCAGCCAGAGGCAGTTCCTTCTGCTGTTCATACACATCATGATTTCCAGCCTGCTGTGAGTAGCTGGCATACCCTTCACCCCTACATTAGGTCTGCTACTATTCCCAAAGTGATCCTGCAGAAGGAGATTCAGGGCGGTGTCATTCATGCAGCTGATTCCAGTAAATGAAGGTCAAGGCTCTGTGGCAGAAATTACAGATCCCACACCACTGGGACATTGGTCTGTGGATGTACCCATGGAGAATCATACCACTGGGTCCATCCACCTAACAGACAGGCTGTGAGAAAAGGATTACAGAGGCCTGTACACAGGTTGTGTTAGATGCCTAAGCCAGGGATCAGGGCCAGTGTTGGCTGACTGCTGACCCATGTGCTTCCCAACTTCACCCAGTCTGTCCTGCACTGAGAGGCTCCCAGGTGGGTTGCTGGGATCCCAGGGCATTCAAAATGGCTCTTGTGAGGGACTGATTTGTTCATCCTGTGTGGCTGTATAAACAGAAAGTCCTCTTCTTAAAGTCATTCCATCCTATTAGCGTGTTCTTCATGTTGATGTTGTGTAACACACGGAGTTTCTGAGGAGGTGGCTGCTCCAGGTGGGCCTCGAGGCCTGCTTGGGTCTGCTCCCAAAATCCTGGGTGTTCATGTATTCAAGTGGTGTGGGCAGTCCCAGGTAACAAGCAGTCCTGGCAGCCTACCGACCGTCTTTCTTCCTTTTCTGTAAGCAGGAGCAGCACAGGCTTTCTTTGGTCGCATTTGGATTTTTTTACACAGACATCCCTGCTTCTATGCCATAAAAGACACAAAAACAAAACAGCTATTTTGCCACCTTCTGCCAAAAGCTACTAAACGAAAGGCAGGGAGGGGTGTGCGTGCAATGAAAACCTCTGAATATACTGTATATGGTGAATATATTAACAATATGACATTCAGAGAAGTATAACTACAATTTTGTCACTGTCTGTAAATTTCTATATACAGTGGTGCCTCGCTTAATGAGCGCCCCGTTTAACAACAAATCCGGATAGCGATTAGGTTTTTGTGATAGCTAAAACGATTGTATAACGATGTTTTGAATGGTAAAAAATCGCTTTGCGATAATCGGTAAGCTGTTTCGCTTACCGATTTTCGCATAGCGATTTTTTTCCAACAGCTGATTGGCGGGTCCATAATGGCCACCAGAAAAAAATGTCCACCCGCTCTTTTTTGGGATGGATTCCTCGCTTACCGGGCAGTGAAAATGGCTGCCGTTTTTGCTTAAAGTTAAGTTTTTCCCCCATTGGAACGCATTGAAGGGGTTTCAGTGCATTTCAATGGGGGTTTTAAAATCGCATAGCGATGTTTTCAGTTAGCGGCAATTTTTGCCGCACCAATTAACAGCGCTATGCAAGGCACCACTGTATTAGGAAAATACTCTTTTTTTACTGCATAGAAAGTGTTTATGTCACAGAATACAGGTACATCTTTTATTCAAGTCATGATAACTGCAATGACACTGAGGATGATGCTGCCTTGTGGGCAGTGCACATTCTTATTTATTTGGCTTCCATTCATTCCCAGTCATCCTTTGCAGAGCTCACGGCAGCAGGCATGACTGCTTCCTTGCCCAAACCTTCAGGTTGCCCTCATCACAACCCTGAGAAATAGATAAGCGTAAGGTGTGGTGATTGGCTGAGGGCCACCCCATAGGTTTCATAGTCAGGCGAAGATATCAGTTTGGTTCTTCACAGTCCTGATCTCTAACTACTGCACCACACTAGCTTCTTGGACAAGGCAACCCCTGAACAGGCAGCGTCTTCCAGCAGCATCCCTCCAGCTAGCCCTGGGATAAATAACAGGATGGGCTCCTGCCGCCTCTTCCGAGACCAGATACCTCCCAGTTGCCAGGACGCTTGGTAGAAGCCAACCAGCATCTGAAGAGTCCTGAGACCAGTGCTTCGCTGCTTAACTGGTGGTGGCCATGCCATTTTCTCACCACCTAGGGCCTCTGTCTGTTAGAATCATCAGGGGCAAAGTGGTGTTGATAGCGACGTGACATATGGAGACGGGCTGTTCCTCACATGTGGTCTTTTTGCTTTTCTAGCTTCACCTTATAGCCTTGAACACTCCCTTGAGTGGCAGCATGCGTGGCATCCGAGGAGCTGACTTCCAGTGTTTCCAGCAAGCCAGGGAAGTTGGGCTGACAGGCACTTTCCGAGCATTCCTTTCCTCCCGTTTGCAAGACCTCTACAGCATTGTGCGCAGAGCAGACAGGAGCACGGTGCCTATAGTCAATCTCAGGGTAGGTCTAGTCACAAGCCTGAAGAAACTGAACTCTAACAAAAGTGGAAGCTCAGACGCGCAGCTCAGTAAACAAAATGTTGGAGACGGGTTTCGGAAATAATAGAAAACTGTACTGGCAATGGTACAGCGTTTTTGTGCACATCATGAGAGTCTCTACCTTGAACACGGAAGGATTCAAAATGTAATTCTGCAAGGAGTTACTTTGTACTCAACTACTGGCTACCTTATTCTTAGACCCTTAGGCGGGTGTCTCTTCAGGACAGCATCCCCAGGGATTCTGACTAAAGAGCTTGTGGGTTGAATCTAATACCATCCACATGCACATCATGTGCTTTCCTAAGGACTTAAAGAGTTTTTGCAGTGAAAAGACGGAGATTTCCTCAGGCAGAGTCCTTGTCAGACAAGCAGAAATTCCATGCTTATTCAGATGCATTGCCTTTTCTCCTTCTTTTGTAGGATGAAATGCTATTTAATAACTGGGAGAGCCTCTTCTCAGGCTCTGAGGCTCCATTCAGAACCGGGGGTCGCATCCTGTCCTTTGATGGAAGGGACGTCCTGAGAGATTCTGCATGGTAGGTGTGTGGGGGGGGAAGAGACTTGTTTGTTTGAACATGGGAGATCTGGGAATGTGCTTTAGTTGCATGTTTGCTGTATCCACCCAGCTGGGCCTGGCCTCTTCATGGCCCCACAGCTCCAGAGGCATCAAAGAAGATGCCTCATCTTTATAAACAGAAGCATTTGTTTATGGCTGGTAGTTTTGTTTGTCTTCCCCCCCCCCGCCCCACAAGCTTCATCTGATGTTCCATTTGGGGCAAGTTTGCAATAGTAAATGTTTTCAGAAGTCAAGTCAATTTGTTTTGCCAGACATTCATAATACTATTTCCCTTGCTGAAAGATCAAGCACAAATTCAAGAGGCCGAGCAACTCTTTTAGCCTGCTGACAATTTGATCTGTTTCTCCTCTACCTCGGTAACAGTTTGTTCCTAGAAGACAGAACTTGGATTACAGCTCCCAGCATCCCTATCACTATAGTCATCAGGACAGCTGCTGAAGGATTCTGCGAGCTGTAGTCCAACAAGTAACTTTTCTAAATTCTGATGTATATATAGGTATCCATGAGTTATGCTAGAGGAGATCATAGTCTCCCCCCTCCCCATATGAACTGCAGATGCCCTTGAAAAATCAAAACAAAACATGATTTTTGAAGGGCATATATGTGCAGAAAGGGAAGGAAGAAGGTATTGTGGCCCTTTTGTTTTGTTTCTTTAGTCGTTTAGTCGTGTCCGACTCTTCATGACCCCATGAACCGAACC